TAAAAAAGTAGCCTATTTAAAAGTACTCATGAGTATTGAGTAGTGAGTACTGAGCTGTGGATTCTACCCCCTCATAATAAACGCTGTACACCGCAATTGATACCTTTTAAAAACGTTGTACATTCTGTAATTCACATTATCTTGTTTGTCATAAAGAATGAAGAATATCTTTCATCCAGCAGTTTTAATTTTGACTGCCAACTCTTTAAAATACATCAAAACAGCACGGAAACAGTATTCAGTTGAAGAAAAGATTAAACGGTGCCAGTTTTAGCGGTTTGCAATAAAGAAATAAGAATAACTAAACTTATTAACTAAAAAAAAGCCACGGCGGTCTCGGTGAATCAGCAGCATCCACAACTGAACGGAACAAAAAGTGTTGAACTTGAAAATTGTTTATGCGCGAGTGCACTTGCTAATTAAAGGCGGATTGTATTAAAATGGATTAAAAAAAACGTTTATTAACGAGCTGCAGTTTTATTACATCACGGCTGGCACGGATGCAGTATATTAAAGCCACGGGTCATCAATAAGTTGCAGATTTGGTCCTCAATTTGTGTTTCCAACACACTTTTTCACAGCGCGCATCACGCTCTCAAACTCATCAAAAGTCAACAAGTTCCCCAAGCAACAACGACTTATCCAAGTGACTGCTGCAGAACGCACGCGAGAGAGAGACGAGGCAGCGCAGATCGCGCGTCTCATAAGTGAGTGGGGAATTTACCGAACGTGGCACTTGCGGGAGTTAACACTTAACACTGTACGCAATACCCGCAACCTCACACCAAATTTCAGGCCGTGTAGATAGGCAAGCATATATACAAATCATTTAGTAAGCAGAAATCCGAAATTTACCTTAACATATTAAGTTATGAATTGATGATAAACAGCCATGATAACAAATCGGCGGTTAAAGTTTTCTATGCACAATTTGATTTGACGAAAGTCAGGAGACCTATTACTATCTATCAAATCACGTTGATGGATAAAAATAACATTAAAATAAGCAGGTAACGACCACAAACGGAGGAAAATAGCGGAGTAAAAGTACCAATACATCACTTAAAATGTACTCAAGTAAAAGTAAAAATACAAAAAAAAAGTACACAACTACTCAAAGTACAATTACTGATAAAACCTACTTAATTACTGTAACGTGAGTATCGGTTTTACATGTCCATTTACAACCCTAGGATTTGTCCCTAGAATGAAATGGTCTGTTTTTACCTTAATGAATAATAATGTTGAGCTCTGCTCTGATTGGCTGTTTCACAGTGCGGCTCATTTCAGGAGCTCACACAGCAGGAAGGAAACACAGGGAAAATATATATTTCAATACTTTCTCTCACTGTTATATCGTTGGGTAATTATACTGTATATAAAATGCGGACATCAGGGAGCCGCTATTAATATGCGGGGAATTGAAACTGCTTTTGAATGCACGATCGCGTTTTACTTTCACTTTCGAGATTTGCGATCGCACGTGATCCGTGTAAACTACAGCGGCAGTACTTACCACACATTTTACAAGATCAGATGCTTGTCAGTGGTGCTCAGGATCTGTAAATCATTCGCCATCATCTCTCCTTACTCCGTTTATGTGGTAAGTGAAATCTTATGTACTGTGACAGGGCTCGAAATGAACTTTTTTACTTGGTAGCACTGGTGCTCCCAACTTCAAAAATTTAGGAGCACTCACCAAAAATGTATGAGCATCATAACTACAAATTATATATTAACAGATTTTATCCTTACATTCTTAAATTTAATGCAGATTTTGTATTGGTTAATATTAGCTGTCAATCTCTCAGTGACTGCTTTACGCTAACTACCGCGAGAAAAAGAAAGGGCTGAAGAAGAGAGAAAATGAAAAGAACACTGACAGATTTCTTTTGTAAACAACCTAAAGTTCAGCTCTTCTTTAGAGAGGGTTAGGACGGTGTATGCCAGGGGTGTCCAAACTCAGTCCTGGAGGGCCACTGTTCTGCAGAGTTTAGCTCCAACCCCAATTAAACACACCTGCACCAGCTAATCAAGGTCTTAGGCATACTAGAAACTGCCAGCCAGGTGTGTTGAGGCAAGTTGGAGCTAAACTCTGCAGGACAGTGGGCCTCCAGGACCGAGTTTGGACACCCCTGGTGTATGCGGTGTTAAATTTTACATTCAGCTCTGCCAGTTGCACCGAACGACTGGCAGCTAGGGGTGTGCGATATTGACAAAAAATTATATCTCTGTTT